TCACTGTTTCTGATAAGTGACAAATCCAAGGACCAGAGACAAAGGAAAAGTAGACACATAAGAAAGAAAGAGTCTGTTGGATTGGGTTTGGGGTTTTTTTTTTTTTTCCCTCTCCTTTCTCCCTCTAAAGCGGAGGATCCGGCCGGGCCAGTTTGGATATTTATTAAGAAAAAGCCAAAGATAATTAACTTTTTTGTTTTTGTTTTGTTTGCGGGTGCCTCCCCTGCTGGCACTCCAGGCTGCCTGGCAGATCAGACCTGCTCCTCTTCCTGGGTGCTGGGCTGCTGGCAGGGCTCTGCTGACTCCCCTAAGCCTGCCGGGCCGGCAGCTGCCTACCCAGCCATCTAGCTTGGGTTTTAGGCAAGGTAGACCTTAAGCTGCCACCAATGCTACCTCCCCGGGCTCTCCTGAAGCACAGAGCACCCTTTAGAGGCTGGTAAGTGGTGCGGAGAAGGGGCTACTGCCAGCTCTCTTGGCCAGTGTGTCCCTTAAAGGGCGTGGGGGTAAGAGAGAGTCTCTCCATGAGACTTCTGGCCAGTTTAAGGCTGCTGACTTCTCCAGGGAGGTAAGAGAGGGCAGAATGAGCTGGAAGTGCAGGGAGAAATCAGACTTGGGCCAAATTGATCCCCCTCTTGTGCCAGGAAGCTGGTACTCTGTCAGGACCCATAGACTCTCGAAATGTGGGACACAGGACCATCCTGTGCTATCTGTTCTGTTCCCATCTTTGACCCAGCCTCATCCATCAGGGGGCCACACTTAAATGAAGCTGTCTGTCCCCTGAACCCCACTAGCTGCGGCCCAGCTCACCCACCAAGAAGGTAGCATTGAGAATTTGAGACCTCACTGTGAGAGACAGAGCTGAAGACATCTCAGGAGCCAAGCCTGCTGAGACTGTGAAGATGGCTTCCTACCATCCTAGCTGGGCTTAGGGGTGTGGTTTGCTCCTCTGTTAGTGGATATGTCTGGGCCCCTCCCCTGCAAGGGTGCTCCCCTCTGCCCCCCCCACCCCCAGGCTGCATTCCTGCCAAGTGGAAAGGTAGCAGTAGTCACAAGGTCCCTCCAAGTAGGGAGACTGCACTGGACTTGGACAGAAGAGAACATTTTTGAAGGATTTTGCTGGTCCCCCCCTTTTTTTTTCTCTGAAATATAAGGATGTGCAATTTTTTTGGTTTCAATTTAGCATTGGAGAATTTTATAATTTAGTAATTAAAATCTCTGATAGGCTTTAGAAATTGCGGCTAATTGAATTTAATGGGAAGATGATTTTCAATTTTATTTGATTACCGGGACCCCTGGCATCGGTATTTATGGGAAAAAAATGGGGAATGTGCTGTGTGGGCTAAGATGGCATAATTGAATTAGGGATAATCGGATTTCTCCGTCATGAATTTCACTATAATTTTCCTATAATTTTCCATTAGATATCTAGTTTACAAATATTCACAAAGAAATGAAGCTCTTTCGGAATGGAGATTGCTGGCTAACAGGATTACGGGCCGAGCGTGCGGCTGTGCCAGCCCCTACCCTGCCATAATGTGATCCCTGTGTCTGCCTTACACTTAGCGTGGCCTTGGTATCCTGCTTTGCCACCCACTATACTGGAAGCTGTTCCGTCTTCCCCTTTGTTTCCTCTCCTGTGCTCCTCCCTGGCCCAGCACCCACCTGTCCAGAGCCCACACATTCTCTGCTACCTGCTGGCTGAGCCCAGTCGCAACTGAGGCCCAGGCCTTATGGAAATGGCTCAGCCCTTCTGTGTCCTTCCTGTCCACATTCAGTTGACTTCCGGTTTCCCCCTGATACTCTCTCCCTCCATCTCTGAGGAGCACCCTCAGATACACGGACGCCCTCGCAGGTGCGAACATGCTTGTTCACATGCACACACAGACCTCTGGCTAAGGCTTCTGTGCCCTGGCCCAGTCGCCTGAGAGGGAACCAGTTTATTGGGATCCTGGGGTGGGGTGCAAGAACAAAAGGAGCCTTGTTCAAGTTTATGTGAAAGTTACAAATTCAAAATGAGAGCAGATAAAGCATGAGATACCTGGTGTGTAAACAGGCTGGCGAGTGAGAAGGCCGCAGGCTCGGGAGGGAGGGAGAGTGAGTGGGCATACGACACCAGGGCTGAGAGGATGTGAGACAGCATGGCCACCTGGCTGGGGGGACTGGGGGCTGCTGTGGCCCACTTGACTGGATGAAGTTGCCAAAGAGGGTTCTGTTCTGCTTGGGGTGGGGTGTCCTAGAAAGACCTGGAGGCTCTGAGCTCTGGGCCCTGGAGACCAGTGGAAATCATGAGATGTTCTCACGATGACTGGGTTCAGGCTCTCAGAGTTGTCAGCACATCAGAGTAATAAGGAAGGACTAGTAGAGCCACAGCCCTAAAAGACTCCAGACCTCTAGGCTTCTCCCATCGGTGTGGGCACATTCTTAGGAATAGAGAACAGAAGAGATCTGGAGACGCCTAGCACACAGCCTTTGACCCGTGGCCCACAACCTCGATGCTTCAGCCTTTGGCTCTGTCCTGAAATCCTAACATGCCAAGTTGGCCTCAGTTTCTTCACAGATCTCGTTTCTTCTGCCACACATGGCGCCTCACTCTTGGTCCAGCCTACTCTACCTGTGGTGACTGATTGTGATCCACTGCCTCAGAATAAAGGGTGCTTTCCGGGCAGCCTAGGGCTCTTTCACCATGGGTCATGTATGGCAGCCCCTTCTTGCTGGCTCTGATCTGTGGCCTTCTAGTTCTTTCCGCCCTGCCCTATCAGCCATGTCTTGCCAGCCTCTGCCCTTCAGAGGCTCCAAAGTTATTGTTCTTACCTAGATAATTGGGAAGGAGAGGCATTTTCCTGTTTATCCAGGCCTTCCTAGGGGTCAGCCCTGATTATCATCAGCTGAGGACTAGGGCATTGGGAACCAACCAGAGACTGTGTAGGCCCCTGTGCAGGGGGCTCCTTGTCTTTGCAGGCATCTTCACCAGCTTCCATTCCTGACGCCAGCCTTCCTTTTTTACCTGGTTGCCCACACCAGGCTAGGGTGTGGGACTAATTGCCTGTTGTTACAAGCCAGAGCTACAAGGGGGCAGAATCACTGTTGGGTTCTTTTTTTTGGGGGGGGGGATGGGCAGCAGCACCCACAGACTTTCCCAGGGTAGTCCTGGACACAGAGATCCCACGGGGAAGCTTGCCTGATGGTTCTCTCTGTCCGGTTTCTATGGGCCCAGCTGTGGGGAGCATGTGGCTTGGTTTGAGGAACTCTGTTTTCTTACTCAGGGCTTTATGGCCCGGAGACTCCTGGTAAAGTTAGGTCTTTGTACGGAAGGATAGGGATGGGAGGAGGGAGAGTGTGACAACCTACACTGAGGTTGCCAAGAAGGCAATAGGGAGAGCGGCAAAACAAGAGAGGGATACCCTCTTCTTTGTGGAGCCATTTAGAACTAAAAAACAGTGAGAAAGAAAAGAAGAAAAATAAGGGGAAAGTAGGAGAAAGAGTAGATTGTTAACTCCCTTGACATCTTTGCCTCAAGGCCTTCTTGGGCCCCTCCCTTTGCAAAATAGAAATATTGCAAAAATAGGCCAGCGCCATTTTGCTGAATGCTGCCCAGACCAAGGAGAGCCTAAGCCCATTCTCTTCCCCTCATCGGAAGGCTGTATGGGTCCATCCTTCAACAGGAGAGAGGACGGTAGGGTGAGGTAGACAGCAGGCTGGGCCACCCGGGGACAGGAAGCTGAGCACAGTGGAAACAGGCCTTGGGTTAGCAAACCTACTGAGGTTCCTGCTCCCTTCAGGAAGCTCCCCTTGAGCCCTCCCAAGCCAGATGGTAACAGAGAGCCCTGAATTCCTGCAGCTAGAGCGTGGACCATTTGGGGGGTATGGGAAGTCGGACTTGGCTGAGAGACTTTCAAAGGGAGAAAGGGAGAGTCAAAAAAGACAAGTGCTTGGTCCAGCCCTAAGAGACACCAGAGTGGGCAGGGTGTGGTCCCCAGGGAACAGGTGTCAGGCCGCTGGCCAACTTGCTTGAGGGGCACCCGTGTTCAGGGATGGAAAGGAAGCCCAGATGATGACGTGGATCTACGGAGGAGATCGCCTAGAGGCTGTGAGGGAAGAAGGGGGGGTGGGGAGGAGAAAGGCTTGGGGACTGGAACATGCGTGGCCTGACATGGAGGGACTCCGGGGCCATCTTAAGGGCAAAAGCAAAGCGAAGCGGTGGAAACTTAAGACTGTGCGGTCTGCGGGAGTGCGCGCGGAGGGGAGTGGGAGGGGAGAGCGCGAGGCTGACGTGCGAGCTTCTCCGGCACACCCAGCCGCGCCGCCCCGCGACTCCTTTCTTCTTCGAACTCCAATAGCCACAACAAAATGAGGGAAGCGGGGTGAGCAAGGGAAACAAAACCCCTTCCACACCCGCCCCACCCGCAGCCCAAGGGCACCTCGGAAGGGAACGGCGGGAGCGCGCGCGTGCCGCGAAAAAAGTCTCGCACCTGCGCTCGCTCCCGCGCGGAAAAGTTTACGCGGGCGCGCACAGGGTGGCCGACGGCCCGAAGCGGCCAAGGAGAGCAAGAGGGTGCGCGCGCCCGCGGCGGGAGTCGGCGCGTGTGCGCGGGTGCCATCTCCTCGCTTCGCTCGGGCGCACGACTCCTCCACACAAGCACACACACCCCTCACAGACACCCCAGCCTCTCCCTCCCTCGCACGCGACCCCGCGAGCGCCGGCCCCGCCTCCCTCTCCTCTCTGAGCTTCCGCAGAGTCGCCGCCCGCCCTCCTCAGCCTGTGCGCTGGGAGCGCGGGAGCGCGCGGGGCGGGCGCGCGCGCGCCCATTCACCTTCGCACCACTGCGAGGCGTGAGCGCGCGCGCGAGTCTGATCTTTCACCTGCCGGAGCCGCGCGCGCTCCCGGCGAGGGGCGGTGCCACGGCCGCCCTGCCAATCACCTCGGCGCCTGGCAGCGCCCGGCCGCTCCCGCCCGCCCCGCTCCCTCCTGCCAAACTGTTACCCTGAGTGTTACCGTCAGGAGCAATGACATCAGGATTTTAAAACAACTTGTTATTCGGGGAGTAATCAGTTGCAATTAGGCATTAATTAAGTATTATGAAAGTTGATTATTTAAGTGAATTCGGCTTTCGACTCTCCGACTATGGTGAGTACCGGCAGCGGGCGGGGGAGGGCCGGGCAGGGCCGGAGCGGCGACCCCTGCGTGCTCGGGACGGGATGTGGGGGTGGGGGGCCCCCGGCCCGGCGGGCCCGATCCCCAGCCGAGCGACAGCCACGGGCAGTTTCTGTTTTAGTTGGAGGAACTCGGAGCTGCCGGGAGCGTGCGGGCCGGAGCGTGAGAGCGAGCGTGAGGCGCGGAGCAAACTTTCCCCGCCGCCGCCCTCCCGACCCGGCCCGGCCCGGCGCGCGTCCCCCAGCCCGGGATGCGCTTGGCCCGGCGGGGAGGGACAGCGGGCGGGCGGGGACAGAGGACCCGCGAGACACTAAACATTCTTTTCTCTCTTCTTCATTTCATGGCGCTTCTCGAAGAGTTTGGGACCAAGGAGCGGAGAATGGATCTTGGAACAGGTACGCGCGGTGGGAACCCACGGGGAGGCTCTTTCACTTTTCTTTCGGTTCTTTGACGGAAGTTAGTATTTTTAGCCCAGTGAGTTAGCAGCTGAGCCGAGGGTACCGGACAGGCGCCAGGGGTCTGTGCCCATGGTCCCTGCTAACCCTGCTTTCTGGATGGTGATATTGTTATTTGTCATTCGCTTAGTGACTGTGACTAATTTGATGCTTGTCATTATGAAAGAAGCGAGGGGACAGGGAGCTGGGGGCACCCAGAGAGAGAGAGAGAGAGAGGATTTAGGGGTTTTTTGTGGGGGATTTTGTTCTCCGTGTTTTTTCTCTTGTGTTTTTTAGACGCACTTTTCCCTTTGCAAAGGGGTGTGTGTGTGTGTGTGGTGTGGCGTATGGGGTGTGTGTTTTTATTTTTTTAGTGGGGGGTGGTTTAGTTTTTGAAAGCAGCGTCCTGTTGGGAAAGGTGGTTAGTCTGGTTTCGGGGCGACTGTCTCAAGGTAAAGGAATTTAATTTATTTGGGACAAGGCTGTGTCGGATGATCAAGCTGCTTATTAAGGCTAATGAGTGTTTTTCACTTGAGAAGCTGTGGGCTGAGGTGGCTGTTATCAGTTCAAAGTAAGGGGCCCAGGACTCTCTTCCCCCCCCCAGCCCCCTTTTAGCACCTACTCTGGGAGGCGACAGTAGGCCAAAGACTACATTTAGATATCTGGGTCTGGGGAACTTGGCATGGGGCTAGGGTCAGGCTCCAGCTAGTGCCCCCCTGGCCTGGGCAGAGTGTAGCCTGTTGACTTTGGTTCTTTCCAGTTTTGATTTAATCTTGTTCAGTAGTTTTCTTTGCACCTGACCCTCCAACCTAAGTCCAGAGTGGCTTGGCTTAGTTCTGTGGTCTTCCACTGGCCTCCTCTATCAAAACTAACTTTGGGCCAGAACTCTCACACCCTAGGTTGTTGAAATCAGTTGAATCAATCTTTAGTGTCTTAAGAGAAAATCAGGTTGATAGTTCTTTAGAACTCATCCCAGACCCCTTCTGTGTCATTTGAGGAAGGAAAGGCGGTGGTCTTATGTGGTTTTTAGGGTTGGTGTTAGACTTGTCCAAGTTCACCACATACTCCCATGGGACCCATACAATGACAGCTGCCTCTGTGAGGCAGAGGGGGCAAGAGGCAGGAGAGGGCAATCAGGAATGTGTGTTGTGGGGGTAGGGAATCTTCACAGAGTGGTTGGGCTGTAGGGGACAGGTGTGTTCTTGGCTAATGGGATGTGGAGGTCCTGGGGACATCTGTGCCCAGGAAGGTTACTACGCCCCCTGCTGGGCAAGTTTGGAAAGGTGTCTTGAAGCCATTGCTGCCACCCTGCCCCTCCCTGGCCTCCACCCCACAGAGAACCAGCCCTCCTCCACCTCTAATCAGGTGTCTCAACACCACCCTCTCAAGACCCGCCCCCCTTTCTTCAGAAATAGGGCCCCCACCCATCCCAGCCAAGAAGCAGACCTCAGGGACAGGCCCAGTGTTTGGCACCACCCTCTACCTGGCACAGGAGAGCCTGCCAATGGGCCAGCACAAGGGACTGAGGCATTACTCAGCTGGAAGGCGGGCCCTACTCTCTTCCTTCTGACCTAAGTGCCAACTGGAGCTGGCGCCCATCCTGTCATGCCTAGCCTCTCCTAGGCTGCCATGGAGGCACGGTTCCATATCCCTTCTGGGGAGTGTCATGATGGCAGGGCGGGAGACAAGTGACAGAGTCTCCTGTGGCACCTTAAGGGCTCTGGGGAGACTTACTGCTCTTCACACTCCAGGGACAGGCTCTGGAAACTTTTCCTAGAAGCCAGAAGGGCCAGGAAGTCAGCAGGAGCAGGGCACTCCCAGTGGGACCCAAGTCTGGACTCTGGCCACACAGAGAGGAAGGTCCATGGGATCAGAGTTCAGTTTCCTGGAGGAGTTGTTTAGTGATACCTTCTGTCTCTTCTCTGTTCTTGGGAGTTTCACCTAATCTCAGAACTTCAGAAGAAAGGCACTTTCCCCTCGATTCACAATAAAAGGGGAAGCAGACCGGGACTCAGGCCGATCTGTGCTCCTTGATTCTATCTCTTGGACAGCTCTGTTCTCAGCTGAGAACATCTCCCTTGACCTCCCTGATGCACAGGGCCTGCCAAGGCTTATTGTTGGTGCTGTGCCGTGCCGAGCTGCCATCCTCTGGGAGCAGCCCTGGTAGTTCCAACTAAAAGCCTCACCAGAGTGTAAGCAGGTAAAAGTCCCAAAGAGTTGCCAGTACCACAGACCTCCAACAAGTCCTGGATGATGGGTTCACTGTCCCCTCCACCCGTGGACATGTCTAGGTCCTGAAGCGCTCTGGCCATGAGTAATTCAGTGGCTGGGGAGGATTGAGGTTTCTCAGGAGGGGCAGAAGGATCTGAAGACCCTCAGGGGCCATGTGGACCCCTTTTCCCCCACCATAGTTCAGCCAAGGGCTGGATCAATCTGGACGTCTTTAGCAATAAAAAATGCCGATGTCGTCCTAATTCACCAGGCCCCGAGATGACAGCAAATTTACATTTTTTAATTAAACTAGCAGCCAGTTTTTATGAGAGGGGGTTGGGTTATGCAAATCAAATGGTTGTGTACGGAAGATTAGGAGAGTTTGGGAATAAATTCCACAAATGCTAATAAAAAAAAAAGGGAAAGAGAGAGAGAGAGAGGGAGGGAGGGAGGAGAGAGGAAGAGAGGAGGACATGGTTCCATTAGGCCCTTTTAGAGTGATTTCCCAAGGGGGAGGGTGTAGGGAGGGGGAGGGGGAGCAGGGAGGAAGCTTTGAGACACAGGTAGATTCATCCTGTAGTTGGGAAGCTCCCCAGGATTAGCCCCCACCCCCACCCCAGGCTGATTTCTGGGCCTGAACACACTTGAGCCTGGGTAAGAATCGCTATGTAAGAGTCATAGATCTCTGACAAAGCTTACCCCTGATCATTCGGGATCTATTTCTAATGCCCTCTTGAGAAGGGGAAGAGCTCTCCTGCAGATGATCCAAGGTAGGCTCTTCTGGGTAAAGGGCCAAATAGGCAGGAGGGCAAGCTCAAAGGAACGGCCACCGAACCCAGAGGGAGCTGGGAAGGGGCTGTGGTACCCACGGAAGCGTCATGGCTGCAGCCCTGACATCCAGACAAGTCATTGGCAGGACTCACTGAGCCAGAACTGTCTGTCCAACTGGGACTGCAGGCCAGGACCCTTCCTCTCAGGCAGACCCTCTCCCCCCATGACATACAGTCTTCAGTGATAGAGAGGTTGGGAAAGACGAGGCCAAGAGAGACCGTCCAGGAAACAGCCTAAGGCAGGGAGGAGAATGGCAGCAGACTCCCCCTGGTTGTATCTTTCCCACAAGGAGCAAGAACTTGCGTCTTCATACTCAGCCCCTGCAGTCAGAGTATCAGCATACTCAGAGTATCAGGCCTTAGCACCGAAGGTTCAGAGCCAGGTATTGCCCAAAGTGGAAGTGACTGTGAACCCTCATAGTTCTGGGTACACTTAACTCATCATGCACCAGGCGATGGGAGTGGTCTTGTGCCACTTTTGGAAGGATTTCATGTTGGGTTGGGTAAAGTAGCTCGCCCTCGATTTTCCTTCCTCCAGACTTAACTTGGCCAGATACACCCACTCAACCAGTCTAAGCTAGGGCCAGACCGGGCACCGGTTTTGCTAGTCTGCAGGGGGGAGGGTATTCTGGTGCCATCTTGGCAGGAAGGAGCCGTCAGGGCCAAGGACAGCATGGGCTGTCTTGGAAGTGGTGTGTTTCCTGGTTCCATTCAGACAGGCTGGCTACGTACCCAGCAGTGACACAGGGAGGGACTTGAGCATCAGATGACCTTTAAGGTCTTTGACTACCAACTAGATTTTGTTCAGTGGGGCAGGCTTCCAGGGAAGAGTCACGTGAGTAAAGCAAGAAACACATCATTGGTCCCTTCTTAGTAGAGAGCTTTTGAGACACCAAACAGCTGGGGGGGGGGGGCTGTGAACCAGCGGTGATACGAGTTACAATGTAGCAAAGTGCAGGATAATAGGCCGATCATGGTGGTTCTCCTACAGAAACAGGCAGCGGCAGCAGAAGCAGGTCTACCAGGATCCCTAAGCCCCTCTTCCCTGGTAGAGACCAGAGAAGGGAGCCCACAAACTCTTAAGAGAGGCATGGGCAGTATGGGGCGTGGGGGCATCAGACGTTTCTCCCTGCCTCCCTGGCACTGCCGACAGTCCCCACCCCCACAGCCAGGGAATCTGGCTGAGTTGCAGCTTGAGTTTTTATGATGGGAAATAAAAATAAATAGAGGCACCTTTGCAAGGCTGAGTCACACTGCAGCATCTCCTCATGAAAGCTGCTGCTCCGGCTCAGGTCCCTGCCCATTTTCCCAGGCAGTGAATGGGGTAGGCCTCTAGACTGTTCTCTCCGGACCCTGCTATGTCAATGGTCCATTTCGATCATCAGCTAACCTTGGACTAGTCCACCCTTCTCAGAGAATTGGGTCCTCAACTCATCACCAACTCCAGGCCCCAAGGTTCAGCCTTCCTAAACTTGTTTTTTTTGTTGTTGTTTTGTTTTGTTGTTGTTGTTGTTGAGACAGGGTCTCTCTGTATATTCCTGGCTGTCCTGGAACTCACTCTGTAGACCAGGCTGGCCTCGAACTCAGAAATCCGCCTGCCTCTGCCTCCCAAGTGCTGGGATTAAGGGCGTGTGCCACCACTGCCCGGCTGGTTTTTTTTTCCCCCTAAGCTTTTTTTTTTAAGTCTTGATCAACCACAACTGCTACCACTGATGTCTCCCCTTCCCCTTATCCTCCTCTTTCCTACCTTCCCTTCTCAGAGAGGGAAAGAAGTGGCTCCAAAGTAATTCCCAGAAATGGATCCCCCAGGCAAGCAGCATCTGTTGTGGTAGCCAGGCCGGGGCCTAACAGGACTGGAAAGGGGCTCTAGGCCAGTGGCCATGTTGTGTGTGGGAGAATCAGTTGGGCAGACCACCTCAC